TGGTACAGTAGTAATATAACTGTTGTGGGCTTGGATTCATTCAACAGAATCTCAGAGGCCACGCATTCAATGCTAAATATGATTGCGGAGCGGTACCTGAAAGTTCTAGAAAATAAAGTACATAACCTCCAAGAGATAGGTCGTACATCTGTGTTCAGTATTGCGAATATGTGTCAAATCCATTCACCGTTCAACGCCTCCGGTATCTCCCCATCCTTTCCAGCCCACAACTCATGGAAAATTTCGTGGACACTCAGCGACTTGTCCGCCTCGCTAGCTTCCGTCAGTGCTGAGTACATGGGAACAAAGTAAGTCAACAAATTCAACTTGAGAATCATGTCACGTACCCTCCCCGCGCCCCTCGCCCAAACTTTCTTCGAGACCGGATTCACCCCCTCGGACGGCGACAAGCAACAGCTCAACCCCGGTGTAGTCCAGCATTTGAGGTCGCGCACACGGTGCAAAGCGCAGCCCAGTCGCATCTCGCCCGCGTGTCCCCTTCCCGAAAACGCCCTCCATGATCGCGGGCGGATAGACTACGTGCTTAGTCGTCGAGGGTCCACCGTCGGTGGAAGGGGCCTGCGGGTTTTTCACCTGTAGGACGAACGCCGCAGCGCGCTGGATGCCGAGCGCCGTCTGGACAGGCCCAAATTCGGACGGCGCGGGGTGCGAGAGGCTGTATCCGAGGTACGTCGTTTCCTGCGACACTTTCTCCGCCTCGTTATTGACGAGGGCGTAGCAGCCACGCGCAACAAGGCGGGCGGGCGGGTCACGGCGCGTGCCTGATTAAAACATATGGGTCAGCCTCACTGCTCAAGGGACCAACTATGAGCTTCTGTACCGCGCGTCTTCGTCTCGTAAGTCTTTTCACCCATCCCCTTCTCGAGGGCATCCAAGTCATCCCCGACGCCTACGACCGTCGCCCAGAAACTCTCTTTGCGGCCCCCGCGGCGTGCATCAGGGTCTGGAAGGGTTTTCTTGCCGATGGTAACAAGTCGGTAGTGCTGCTCCGGGGAGTCCAGTGGGGCCGCGGCAGGAACGGCGTCTGCACCCTGCTTGAGAATCTCCATGTCTTTCGACTCCTCCGCGGCGGACATCGGCGTGTCATCCGCTGTGCTGAATTTCGGGCGGCGTGGGACCAACAGCATGTGGAGATTCTTCACGTCGTCGAGAGACGAGGGATCGTCTGTCTGGACGCGGGGGCGGAAGAAGAAGTAGATATGCCCGCGCTCCGTCGTTCCTGGAAAAGAGACTGGTTGCAGCCGCGATATTGTTTAAATCTTACCAAGAGTTCTTACCTGCCTCGCGCACTATGCCATCTTCTTCATCTTTTCGAGCGCCTTCTTCGGCCGGAGTCTCAATTTTTACCTTCTTTGTCGGCGGCTCTGAGTCTTCGGGCTCTTCGACGTCTACCCCTTCCTGCCCGTCAGACGACGGACTGGTCGGCTTCAAATTGGAGTCATCGGGGGCCGAGCGCTTGGTGAGATTATCCGGAGCGCTCGCGGCCTCATCAGCTTCTGCTTGCATAGCTTCTTGTTTTCGAGTAGTAACCATAATTGTACGGTGGTGGTTGAAAGCAAAAGTTGAACGGTGCGTGACATCATCAATCGGACTCCACCCAATCGCAGCCCACGTGATATAGACGCGTTCTTAGGAGCGCGTATACATCGACAAATACACGCCTGCATGCACGTAAACAGGATTTTCCAAACGGCCTTCTTTACCAACGACGCGGTTGAAACTTCGTTTTAAAAGTCGACTCACATCACGACGCACATGTATAGGAAACACGCCAACATGCCAATGGGTCCAACCCAAAGCTTGCTTTTCTGATACCTCCTTGCTATAATAGCGATAGGAACTCGGACCTGGTGCACGGTTCCCACCACTCTGATCTGTCGGAGTCTGTGACTCTGTCTGTCCGGAACTTGTAAACCACCGTACGTAGACGGGATTTCCTGGGTTTATTATTGATCCTTTTGTACTAGAAGGTTTTTTCTTTTGTGCAGAATGTCCCGCGTGTTCTCAAATTCTCTCAATCCCAAAGAGGACCCGCCCGAACCCTCGGTTTAAAAAAATCAACCTGGATCACAACGAGCCCGAGGGAGTCCGCCGCCGACGCCGCCGTCGGCCGTTTCGTACCAACATCCTTCACCTCCAAGCAGAGGTAAGAAATCAGATGTGGCGAACGGCTTACCTGGAGCTTAAGTTCTACAGCATCGCATCGTAAGTGCGCTCCTGGGTTCGACTCCTAGCGTCTGAATTCGAGATGAAGTTCGTTTTTTTTTTGGGTGACCACCAAGTGACCATAGAAAGTAGGCAAATTTCCCAAACTCCCTTCCTTCCATCCTGGAGGTTGAACGTTGAATAGTGGATGAAAAATTCATCCGGGACACCGTGCCTGAGGAAGTACACGCGACTACAAGATCAAAACTCAGTCCTCCTACTACCCTACCTCCAGGCTTTTTGTGGTCCCTTTTTTTCGGCTTCATAGGTCTCATCCAAACTGAAACTCTTCTTCCCGAGGGAGTATTGTAACGATCCGGAGGTTGAACCATCGGTTCGAGAAATACAACGACTTCTAAGGCCTGAGGAAGGCTGCGGTCGTGTACAAAATCAAACCTAGACTCCCTCCTTATAGACCACAGATGTAAGGTAGGGAATCGGACTCCCAGCGGCGAATTAGTGATGGTTGGTTGTTGGTACGTTTTTTGTTGTTTTTTTTTTTTGGCGTCATAAGCCTCTTCCTTTCTTCCCCAGTAACGACCAGCAGTTGAACCATCCGTTCGAAAAAATCAATATTGACAACAGACGAGGAAGTATACAAGCCAACGTCTGTGCTTGCCTACAAACAAACCTACTTAGACTCCCTCCTCCTCTTAGAATTCAGATGTAAGGTAAGAAATTGGATGTGGTGCACGGTGCACATCAGACTTTTGACAATTAGCTTGTGAGCTTGTACAAGGCCAAAAAAGGCCAAAAAAGGGCCAAAAAGGTCGCAAGTTGGCAAGGTCACAAGGCTATCTTTTTTTCTGACAAGGTCGATGGTTCGACTTTTGGTGGCATAAATTTGATTTGATTTTCATGTTTCGGTACAGGACAGTTCTGAAAATTTGCTTAGGGCATTCTACATACATCCTCCAGGTGTTTGAGATGTTATCTCGTCTTGTTCTGCATTTTCGGAGGGGTAATTTTTGGCCCTTGGACCTTGTGGGCTTGGCGACAAGCTCACAAGGCCAAACAAGCCGCAATTGTTAATTGGCTGATGCACACCCGGAGAGTTCTTGAAATACAAGCGGAGGCCCTGGGTTCGACCCCCAGCGTTCGATATACGTCTGCGCAACTAACTTTTGTCGTTTTATTCTTTGGGTGGCACAAATCCTTGCACATGTCTGTTTCAGATTTCCAACCATGTTTTTTTTTTCAAGCGGTTGAACCAAACCAGCCCGAGCCAGTGCTCGCGCTCGTGGGCGAATGTGTCGCTTTTCATACCAAATTATCTTCCTTCCTCCTTCTCCTCTCATACATAAAACCCACCTTAGTTCAATGGTAAGAATTGGGACGTAGCGCACGGTGCGCACACGCTGTAAGCGTAGGTGCACGTGTTGTTGCAGGGTTCCTGGGTTCGACTCCCAGAGTCTGAAATACTAATGTAATTCTGAACTTTTGAACCTTTTTTTTTCTCTCTGCATCGTAGCCTCATACGTGTAGCTTTCTTCCAAACTGATTGTCTTTCTTCCTAAGCCAGGAGCGATCCGGCGGTTAAGACATCGGTTCGAAAAAATCAACATGGATATAACATGGACAATTTAACACCTGAGGAAGGAAGTACACATGCCAACGTCTGTGCCCACTTACGAACAAACCTAGACTGCCTCCTCTTCTTAGAATTCAGATGTAAGGTAAGAAATCTGATGTGGTGCTCGCTATAAGCTTAAGTGCACGTGTTGTTGCAGGGTTCCTGGGTTCGACTCCCACAGTCCGAAATGCGGTAGTAAATTCTTGAGTTTTTTTTGCCCCTTTTTTCTGCATCATAGCCTGATACGTGTAGCTCTCTTCCAAACTGATTGTCTTTCTTCCTGAGCCAGGAACGATCCGGCGGTTGAGACATCGGTTCGAAAAAATCAACATGGATATAACATGGACAATTTAACACCTGAGGAAGGAAGTACACATGCCAACGTCTGTGCCCACTTACGAACAAACCTAGACTGCCTCCTCTTCTTAGAATTCAGATGTAAGGTAAGAAATCTGATGTGGTGCTCGCTATAAGCTTAAGTGCACGTGTTGTTGCAGGGTTCCTGGGTTCGACTCCCACAGTCCGAAATGCGGTAGTAAATTCTTGAGTTTTTTTTGCCCCTTTTTTCTGCATCATAGCCTGATACGTGTAGCTCTCTTCCAAACTGATTGTCTTTCTTCCTGAGCCAGGAACGATCCGGCGGTTGAGACATCGGTTGGAAAAAAAATCAACATGGATAACATGGACAATCTAACACCTGAGGAAGGAAGTACACACGCCAATGTCTGTGGCTGGCATCTAAACCAAACCTAGACTCCCTCCTCCTTGTAGAACTTGGATGTGGTGCATGTTGCACACCCGCTGAAATTTGAGGAAGAATTGGGAGATTCAAATTATGCGGCCGGGGAGTCTGGGTTCGACTCCCAGCGTTCGAATATGTATACGTTGTTCCAAACTTTTTTTTTTCGGTGCAGAACGTCCCCATATTTTTCAAACTCTTAACTTCCAATGACAACAATGACCTACTGGGAGAACCAAAATTGAACGGGATACAGTAATAGTGTGCTCACGCTCGTTGCTTTTAAGTGATATTGTCTTGTGAGTCTCAGCATCTTGGTGAAACCTTCATTATATTTAAATATCAGGTTGCGAAATATGACAATCCTTGCACATTTTATAGAGGCCTTGAGGTAGCATAAGTACACACTAACGTCTGTGGTCGTATCCGAAATCAAATGTAGACCACCTCCTCCTGCTAAACTCGGATGTGGTGCATGGCGCGCACCCGCTCACCGTGACTTCGGAATTCATCGCAAGCGGGTTCCTGGGTTCGACCCCCAGCGTCCGAATTTGCCAACTGTCGAACATTTTTTTTTGTACAGAACGTCCCGGTTTTTTTTAAACTCTTTCACCTCCACTTACGATCCTCGGTTCCCAGAAAAGAAAAGAGAATCAAACTGCATAACACCTGGGGAAGTACATATTGAAGTTGACCTTTAAATTCCTGCCAGTGGGATGGCTCTGTTTTATTCTCATCTGGCTCGAAAATTTAGCAGTCTAAGTGCTCCTAATGTTCACCATCAACCTAGATATAATCACTCGGATGTGGTGCACGGCCACACCCGCTCTTTGTTGGTCTTCGGGTACAACTTTACGTGGGGTTCGTGGGTTCGACTCCCAGGTCCGAATCGACGAGTCTCAACCTTTTTTTTTCGGTGTCAAAGGTCTCATCCAAACTGACTATCTTTCTTCCTAGTAACATGTTAGAATGACGGTGTCGTCGACGTCACGCGGGAGAGTTAGCAGAAGACCCTGGCAAACGCGCGAGGGGATTCATTCGAATATACAGCGTACTTATACAAATATGGATGGTGAACGAGCTAGGGAGTCCGAGAGTAGAAATAGAGGAATGCTGAATAAGTCGGAGCGGGGTGGTGTGGCCGTGGACGTCGCCACAAGAATGGAGCTAGGACAGTGAGCGCGTGCTAGTCTTGACAGCGAGCGCGGACTCGAATTCCAACACCCCCCCGCGAGTTCGCAAGCGAGCGTACACCCCCGCGAACTCGACAATGTACCTCCGTGTTCAGAGTGCTTCCGACTCCGAGTCGGACTCGTCGAGCCCGATGGCGATCGCGGCGGTCCCAATCTTCTTGCGCTTGGCAGACTCCCAGGCATGCTTCTCCGGGCAGTCCGACTTGAAATGCCCCTTCTTGTCGCAAAAGAAGCAGGTAATATCTGCGGCAGCGTGTCGTGCAGCAATAACGGCCATTGCCTCGTCGAGTTCGGTAGTGGACGGAACGGAAACAGTGGTGGTGACGGATGGGGTAGAAGATTGGCGAGCCTCCTCGTTCAGCAAACAGCTGATGACATGTTCGATGGTGAGCTGCTCGGGAGACGTTGCGTCGAAGTTAATAATGACAGGGTTGTAGGTGGGAGGAAGACCCATCGTGAACGCGAGAATCTTGTCCTGATCCGTGACGGCAACCTCCGCATGCTCCATCCGCAAAACCATCCGCTGGATTCTGCCAATCCACGCCTCCATCGTCTCGTCGTCCTCCTTCTTCGCGGTAAGGAACTTCCGATGAAGAGCAAGACTAGTCGCAAAACTGGCAGCCTGGTGCATCAGGCGCAAGTTCTCCCAAATAACCATGGGGTCTCGCGACGTCATGTGCGACAGTTGCCCATCCTCGACGCGTAGAATCATCTCCGCACGAGCCTCCGCCATCTTTCCGACATCTCTTCTTGCAATCAACCCATCCCTCTCCCTCTTTATATCCTCTGCACTCTTCTCCTCTCCATCAGCCTTGCTCCTGACAAAAGGTATGGCCGACTTTGTGTTTGTGAAGGAAATGGAAAACATCGACAGTCATGCCAACATCTTGGAACCAGGACCACACTTCTGGGTGTGCCATAACCTGCTGCTTTGCGTCGCAGTTGGTGTCGTAAATGAAATGCTCCGGCTTGTGTGCTCGAGGTACAGAAAATGTCTTTTGAACAAACAGCTACGGATGTATGAGCAAAATAGATAGATAATATGCAAGGTAACTTACAAGGACATTAGAGACGGCCTCGGCATTGTAAAATGTTGCACGCGAGACAATGATCGCGCACGGCCGGACCAAGGTTTGTTCGTTATGGGTGCGTGCTCTCCCAAATAGATGAGATGGAGGCTGAAAGATGTACAGGCAACGTACCACGCCAAGAGCATAAGACTTATCCACATCCCAATGAGCTTGCGCTCCGCAAACTGATGCTCCCCAATTTGGATGTAATTTGGTGTATCACCGTAGTAGGTTCGTAATCCATTTTCGACGGAATAGTTGTGATGGTAGTTAGTTTTGCAGTCTGGGCAATAGAGGTGTATTGTCCAGGCAGGGACTACTCCGTGAGCAAGAGTATATACAACCGCTTGGCGTTGTTCGTCCTTCTTGAGCGGGTTCTGTCGTAGACACTGGCGGTTCTGGCAGTGGTGCGACGGGGGGAAAAGAGTGAGAGATGCTATAAGAGCCATGAATTTAACAGCACATTTTTTGGCTCAAAGTCTACTGACCGATACCCAATTTCCACCCATGCTGCCGAAAGAGTTCTTCTTCTTCCGCAGATAGTTCCGGGCGTGGCAAAGACCAAATATCTTCCTTCAAGAGGGACCAACATTGGGCAATATCCTCATATCTGATACCAGTCGCGTTCGATACAAATGTAGTGATTGCTGGTGGCAAGAAATCGGGTTGAACTTGCTCACCAATATCTCAACAACCACCCACAATCCCTTCTTTACCAACACAGCCTCCATGCGCACAGACCATTCAGGATAGTTGCCAGCGTTGCCGAGATGAGAGAAGCGAGTGGAGTAGTCGTCGGACATAATAACGGTGTAGCGGCGTAGTAATCGGGGAACAGAATATTGCCTCGTCTCGTGAGGGCTTTCGAGTGCCTCGTCTCGTGAGGGCTTTCAACGGTGCCTCGTCTCGTGAGGGCTTTCAAACAGTGCCTCGTCTCGTGAAGCACAGGGGGAATCGGCGGTAAGACTCGAGAGCAACGATCGTCAACGAAGATCAAGAGAATGGCAGCGAGAGAGCAGAACGAAGCTAGAGGGTATGCTGCGCGTTTGTGTTAGAATGACGGTGTCGTCGACGTCATGCGGGAGAGTTAGCAGAAGACCCTGGCAAACGCGCGAGGGGATTCATTTGAATATACAGTGTACTTATACAAATATGGATGGTGAACGAGCTAGTCCGAGAGTAGAAATAGAGGAATGCTGAATAAGTCGGAGCGGGGTGGCGTGGCCGTGAACGTCGCCACAAGAATGGAGCTAGGACAGTGAGCACGTGTTAGTCTTGACAGCGAGCGCGGACTCGAATTCCAACATAACAATCCAGCGGTTGAACCATCGGTTCGAAAAAATCAATATTGACAACACTCGAGGAAGTACATATGCCAACTCTGCGGCTGCCTACGAAATCGAACCTAGTGACGCGCTCCACGTTCCGCTGCTTCCGTATCCGAGATCACCAATTTATTTAATACAGCCTTTTGTCTTAGACTCGGTATCCTTCCATTTTGCTCCTATCTTACTTACTATATATTCTGTACCCAGTACTGCTCTCAATACGATCCCCCTTTGCCCTGGATCAGTCCTACGTCGTCCTCAAACCCGGCCTTCGTCGTTGCCGCGGTCTAGCCTCGCTCTCGTTCCCCGCTCGCGGCACAAGACTCTGAGCTTTGTCTTGATCCAACTCGCACCCTCAGTATCCCTCCGACCTCCTTGCCGCTTGCCTGGTTTGTTTCAGGTTCAGCTCGCGCTTGGAACGTCGGCAGGTTCGTCATTTTGGAGCCCACCGCGAGGGGATTCAACAACTGTCTCAGGCTTGCTGCCTTCACTATATTCCTCGTTCGCCTCGCCCACGTATCGCATCACCCTGTCGCCCTCGTATCACTTCGTCCACGCTTCGCTCCACTTCGTCGTCTTCGTATCGCCTCGCCCCTTTGTCCACGTATCGCTCACATCGTTTTCGACCTCGCACGCATTGCTCCATCGCTCGCCCCACGTCGACATTTGCCCCTGATCCATTTCGGCATCGCTTCCGCTCCGCATCCCCTTTTGCACTACCATGTCTCACACGCTCCCATTGCCGCCGTCTTTCTCATGCGCCCCCGACGCTACGACCGCTACGCTCATCGAGCTAATCTCGGCGCTCATACGAGCCATCACCGCTTTTTGTATCCGCGGTTCATTGCACGTCTCGCAGCCGCCTCGCCGTCCATTCACGTGCAGTTATTGCAGCAATCCCGCTCATTTTATTAGATGCTGCCCTCACGTTGCCGACGATATTCGCGCCGGTATTTGTCACCGTAACGCCCGTGGTAAAATCGTCTTGCCATCCGGTTTATTCGTCCCGCATTCCGTTCCAGGTTCGAATATTCGCTCCCGCATTGCTACATATACTCGCCAACTCGCTGCTAGTGTTTTCCGGGTCGGGCCGGGCCTGAAAGCCCGGGGCTTGGGCCGGGCTTGAGCGGGCTTGGGCCGGGGAAAACCTCAGGCCCGACCCAACCATCGGGCTTGGGCCCAGGCCCGGGGCCTAGCAGTAAATAATTATATTTATATATTAAATAGTGGATTTTGCTCAGGAGACTTCCAAATACTGTACGGGAACTAACCTGTTGCTATCTATTTAAATTTGGCCTTGAAATGAGATGAACGAGCCTGAAAGCCCAATTGGGAACGTGAGAAAGTCACATTTAGTCCGTTGGCGATCACGGAAATCCGACTTGTGGTTTTCGGGGTCAATGAAATCAGACTCTGCAAATAGTTTTATTGACTATCATTGAAAAAATTTGTGTAGAATCTGACTATGGGAGACTAGGAAAAGCCCGGGCCCAGGCCCCGGGCTTCGGGCCTGAGCAAATCTCAGGCCCGACCTTAGGCCCAGTTGAAAACCGGGTCGGGCTTGGGCCGGGCTCGGGCCTGAGCCCGAGCCTGGCAAATCACTACTCGCTGCTACCGCACCATCCGCATCATCTACGCCTCTCGTCGCTGCTTCCGCTTCCACGCCATCACGTCCAGTCGGCTCTCTGTCACCGTTACATCCCGATACAGAAAAGCTTCGTCTCGCCGCTCTCGAACGCGAAAACAACGCGCTCCGTTCCGAGTTAGGTATCGATTCACCGGATCCCGACGAAATTCGCATCGCTGAAATCGAACGCGAGCTTGCTTCGCTCCGTACCGCTTCCCCTTCCATCGCATCACCCACCGCACCACAACCGCCGTCGAATTCACCGTCTAGCACCCTGTCCACATCCTTATATCCACCGCACCATTTGTCTCGGCCCACGTACCGTTTACCTC